AATGAGGAACCCCCTACCCTAGCTGAGGTTAGGGAGGCGATCTCTAAACTGAAGGGTGAGAAAGCTGCAGGCGATATCCCTGCTGAAATGCTAAAGGCTGGAGGTGAGCCTATGGCATGGGGCTTGCATGCTGTCCTGGCTGCCATCTGGCAGTCCGGTTCCATTCCCCCTGACCTGTTGAGGGGCGTGGTCATCCCTCTCTGGAAGGGGTAAGAGGATCGTTGGGACTGTAGCAACTATCATGGCATCACAATGCTTAGTATACCAGGCAAGGTTATCGTCCACATTCTTCTGAAACGGATCCGTAGCCACTTGCTAAAGCACCAAAGACCAAAGCAATCTGGATTCACTCCTGGAAAATCCACAATAGACCATATCCTAGAGCTTCGAGTCATTGCAGAACGTCGTCGTGAGTTTGATCATGGGCTACTCACAGCCTACATCGACCTCAGTGCATCGTGAATTGTTGTGGGAGAACCTGAGACTTGGAGGAAGTCCAACACGGATAATTGGATTAATAGCAAGCCTATACTGGTACTGAATGTGCTGTAAAGTGTGGTGGGGGCCTGTCGAGCTTCTTCCCTGTTTACTCACGAGTGAGGCAAGGCTGTGACCTTACTCCAACACTTTCAACACTTAAATGGACTAGATAATGGGCAGACCTACTTCCCAAAGTCAATGTGGAGCAACACTGGGTAATATCAAGGTCACAGACCTTGACTTTGCTGACAATGTTGTAATTTTGTGTCCCTGGAATCTCTGGTAGTGGCTCTTTATGCATATATCAATGAGGTGAAGCCTCTGGGCTTGCAGGTCTCCTAGACTGAGACCAAGATACAGAATTTTGGGGGCCTGCTAGGAGAACTTGTTCAGTCGATATATGCTTGTGGCAAAGACTCAGTGAGCTAGAGTATTTAGAGGTGTTGGTAGCTATGCAGAAGGACTAAGTTACATGTTTCAAGGCCTTGATACTGCCAGTTTTGCTTTATGGAAGCAAAACCTAGACGCTATCTAGTGCCTTGATGTTAATGCCTTTTGTAACTACACAGGATGATGGAGTACAGTTGGCAGGACCATGTGTACAACCGACAACTCCACTTGAGACTGGTATGGGACCTGTTACTTGCATAATCCGGGACCGCCAACTCAGGCTATACAGGCACCTAGCTCGTTTCCCTGTGGGTGACCCTGCCCATCAGGTTGTTTCTTTACGATACAATCCTGCGTGGTGGTGGCCTATGGGAAGACCTAGGGAGTCTTCTAAGGAGCTTGGGCAGCACGACCAAACCTGTCGTGAAGAACTAGAGATGGGGCGAGAGCCTGCCAAGCGTCTGGCCATGAGGGACTCCCGAGGCTTGAAGCGAAGGGTGGATGCGGCTATGCGCCCCAGTCTGCGTCGACCCCTTTGATGATAATGATAATCATAATAAGAAAATGATAAGAACAATGATAATATAACACAACAAATAACAACTGCATATGCTTTTCTCACACTAAGCTGGAGCATTACTATCATCGGTGTAATCACCAAAGGTCCTTACCACTTGGAGCCTTCGTCGTAAAATCTCGTAAAACCTTTCTGACAAAATCATATTTTTCAACCAATCGTAACACCTCATTGTCACTACTCTCATCACACCACATCCCATCACTATCACAAATCTTCCCACCACCACAGTCACCACACTCCCCACCGCCATTGGACACCATCGTGGCACCATCAGTCTCGCATCCACTCCAAAGCCTCCGTGTTACCTTGAGTTGCTCTGCAGGAACACTAACAAGGCCTCGGTCCTCGACCACGTCGCTCTCGGCCTTTGCAGAAATGGCCCTAAGCGCCGCCCTCTCCTTCCCTAAATTCAACACTCGTTCCTTTTTTCCCAGTTTTGGTTGCTTCAACTGTGTGGAGGCCCTTTAAGCTTTTATCTATTTCATTTAATTTGTCTATCATTTCTACCTGCATCGAGATTGAGCCATATCCAGAGCGAAATGGGACGAGGGCGAGGTAGGTTAGGGTTATGTAGGGGTGGGAAGTCAAGCTCTCTGTTGTTAGAGATTCTTTGCTCGCTTGTCGGTCAGAAGAATAGTTGTTATCAGCCAGATTTGCCTTGATGTGTACCAAAATACACAAACTTGCAACTGTATGATTAAGCGCAGGACTCCTGTTTTAGTAAAAGCCTCCAGTAAAGCCCTCATCCCTACACTACGGAGCATTAAAATACCACAACCTGTTTCAGTAAGTCAAAGTAAACTTAGCTGTCTTCATCCGTTGTGATTTATTCAATATTAAGTCATACTGCTCGTTTTTCTGGTTCATAATACTCTAAGATCACGACAGAGAACACACCTTTTGGGTTCATAACACTGTTAAATTACAATGTGCCTGGCATTGAAGCCACACTGACAATTTAGAGGTTTGCTTAAAAATTCTACACAGGCACCCACCCTGCCTGATACGCCTTTGTTCTGACATTTTTGCATTTATTTTTTACAGTAGCAACATATAAAAAACTCTTAACCGATTTCCTAATTCCTCCCTTTGTTCTTTCGTACACAATGCCTCAAAGCGAGCATCGTTACCTTCTCATATTCAGCTGCCGTCACCATCCTGGCACACTAACCCGTACACAGAGCATAAATTTCCCGGCAATAACACTTGCTCACTAACCCCCACTCACCCCGTACATATCACATGGTCGAGGCATTCCTCGGACGCGGGAACAGCGCCTTCCTGCCCCTCCATTCCTTTTTTCTTCTTCAACTCCCTCAGTATCTCCATCTTCATCTTCCTCATTACATTTAAAACTGAGGCCGAACAGCAAATGGATATCAACGCCAACTTCCTCGTCTTTGAAGCTGGCAGATTACAGTGACCCGGTCAACGACAGATTACGCCAGTTCAAAAAGCCCCTTGCAAGACACAGGTAACTGCGGCGATTTTTGTTTCTGTATTCGACAACCGGACTGATAGCATTTTGCAACTTTTGAAAGGACGTAAACACACACACACATACACGAATACACGAAGAAGTAATTTAGAAAATTTGGTATCATATAAAAAAACATATCAG